CTGTTCTAAATAGGTTCTGCTGTCCACCACAATATAAGACTTTAATGAAAAGGTACTTTAATACAGTGAATATACAATACAGAAGACAAAGAATATAATTTCTAAGCAAACACCTGAAGTTACCCAGCCCCTCGTGGGCAAAAGTCAACCCAAAAGGGATTGGTCCAAAGCAAGGCCTGAAAGTGGCAGGCCACAAGCCTAGAGCACCTTCTGACTAGGACCATCGAAAAGAATCAGACAAGGCCAGACAAATCTGGGAGGAGAAGAACAAAATCAAAATAAATATAAACACTGCCATAGTCAACCTCCCCACAGGTCTCTCACCCACCTCTCTTTCAACCAGTCCAGGGTCAAGAAACAGTTTCTTCATCACATGCTCACTGCTCTATGTAGCTCCCTCAGGTCACCTCCTGGCTCTCCACCCTGCTGCCTTCTTCTCTAGATTCCTTTTCTGCTCTCCTCAGCTCCACTCTCCTTCTGGCTGGGGCAGGGAACCTGGAACTTCCCCTTTTCCTGGGGACCACCCTGTTACAAAATAACTCATTTTACAGTATAGGGAGCTACACAGAAATACAGGAATATAACACAGGCTTTTACATTTTCCTTAGAGGTAGCAAGTAATAGCAATTTGTGAGAAAGAAACAGGTATTCTCACTAGACTGAAAAATGAGGGTTATGAAGGATATGGGGCATTTGGATCAGACGCATTGTATAGGAAAATCAAGGTGGGGTAAGGTAAAACATTTTTAAAAAGAGAGAGAGAGAGAGAAAAGAACAAGTCAATTCAAAGTCCTGAAGCAAAGTTCACATGTAGAAGAATAGTAGAAAAGGAGAAAGGAAAGAAAGCAAACCATGTGTGGTGGAACTGAAGGAGCCAAGCCAGGAACAGGAGTTTTATTTAATACACAATTGATAATCTTCAAAGCTGCCAAATAGATAGTACTGTTATAGAACAAAATCTGTTACAGGACAGCAAATCTGTTATAGGGCAGGGGGAGAGAGGCACCCCTGAAGCCCCAAAACCTGCCTGCTCTAAGTGGGTTCTGCCATCCGCCGCGTCAAGACAAAACATATAAAACTTTAATCAAAAGGGACTTTAATACAGTGAATATACAATATGAAACATACAGAATATAACTTCTAAATCAAACACCTTAAGTTACCCCTCCCCTCGTGGGCAAAAGTCAACCCAAAAGGGATTGGCCCAAAGCAAGGCCTGAAAGCCAGCCACAGACTAAAGCACCTTCTGGCCAGGAACCATGGAAAAGGGTCAAAAATGGCCAGACAAGTCTGGGAGAAAAAGAGCAAAATCAAAATCAATATAAACACTGCCACAGTCACCACCCTACAGGTATCTCACCCACATCTGCCTTAACCGGTCCAGGGTCAGGAAACAAGCACAGCTTCTTCCTCACAGGCTTGCTTGCTGCTCCATGTGGCTTCCTCTGGTCTCCTCCTTGTTCTCCATCCAACTTCCTTCCTTTTTCTTCTCTCTTCTTCTCTCCTTTTTCTCTGCTCAGCTCCACCCTCCTTCTGGGTGGGGCAGGGAATCAGGAACTTCCCCTTTTCCTAGGGACCACCCTGTTATAGTACTGGCTTCATTTAACTGCTGATTACTTTAAAAAGTAATATTCTAGGTGATGCAGAGGTTAAAGCATAGCACAGCATTATCAAGCTATAGTCAGGCATTGCAGCACTGATGGAGGAAGGAATGCAGGGGAAGCAACACAAGACTGATTCACTCAAACGGGACAGGTAGAAGAGGCTTGTACAGCAATTGACACAGCCATAAAATCAAGGTCCTCAGACACCAAAGCCTGATGCAGGGGTGTTGGGATGTCTCCAAGAGGTCCCCAGCAGGTAACAAACTATTGAAGGCTGTGCCTGAAGCTCAGACCCAAAAGGTGAAAGATAAGGACAGGGAGATGAAGCTCAGCAGGAATCTCTTCAGATTCTATTCAAAGCCAACAAACCTCCGCTCACAGGGAGGGGTCTCCTCCCAGGGAGAGGCTGTCTACATCAGGGCAGTCGCCCCACCAGCACGGGGCAGCTGTTCCTCTGCCCACCTGTGACTATACAGGTGCTTCTCCTTTCCACCCACTCTCTCCCTCTGCAGGGCAGCAGCCTCCTGCCTGCCTGTGACCTGTACCATGCTGGGACCTCTCTGCACTGACCTCCCCCGTGGGAGGCCGCTCTCCTAAGACCGCCTGCCTGCAACCATGCAGGTCTCTTTCTCTGCAAACCTGTCCCTTCCGGGGCAGCTCTTCCAGCCCACTTGTGCCTATGCAAGTGTCTTTTCCTCTCCTGTCTCTTTCTAATAAATTTACTCTTTAAATAAAACTGAGTCTCTCTCATGGAGAATCTCACCATGTACCGCTGAAAAGGGAGCTCTGGTGAAATCTTTCCCAGAGTGAACCCAAAGACCCTGAACTCCAAAAAAAAAACTGACATCAGCAGGAGTTGAATACCAGCCTAGGCGCTAATCCACAGGGTGCAGCACACTTCTGTCTCGCCCACTGCTCCCCTCAGCAGTGTTTTTCAGATCTGCCAGTTCTGCTCCTCACTCTCTCTGATGAATCCTCTCACCACCCCCTGCCCTTCTGGTCTACAACCCAGTTCTTATATGCATAAATAATCTTAAATTAAAAAAGTAATATTCCAGGATTTCTAGGTCTAGCCAAGATAGAACAATTTTAAGAGTCATCTCTTTTATGAAAATTAAAACAACGCGGACATGTCTAAATGCGTAGGAATACTCTGAACAGTGAAAAGAAGATGGCCTTCCGAGGAACCTGGGTCCTCCCACCCTCCCCATGGAGGGCTGAGGCTGCATGCACATCTGGAATAGATGTGGTACAATCCATTTCTCCCTCAGGGGTTCAGCAGACCCAGTGGGAAGTGAACTTCCATCCACCTACCATCACCAACAGGTGGCATCCCAGTGCCAACCTCTCTCCATCAGTATTAGAGGGGCATCATGCAGTTGAGTTTCTGCTCCCACCCTGTAGCAGTGAGCCAATGCTCTGCTTCCTTCTTCCTGGGTTAGGGTTAGGGGGTCTGCCGAAGCCAACAACATTGTGTAAAACAAACAAAGAAAAAGGTAAGAAAGAAGAAACAGCAAGTCAACTGAAGAGAATTACTTCAAAAGGTGTACCCTGGAGGGAGATTAACCTTCCTCACCCATCTGCAAAGGGACAAGTAAATGCTCTTACTTTTGCCAGGGGCTGTCAGTGGTGCCCAGCAGGAAATTAAACATCTATAACTCTGTGTACTACACTTCAACAAGGAAAATGCCTGACATAAAAAAAAAAAAAACACTAAAAAGAGTTGCCAGAGTCTCATATTAGCCAAAATATTGAGGAGAAAAGTCACTTATTACCCCCAAGAAACAGGAAAATCACAACACAAATGAGAAGACTACAATGAAAGTCAACATCAAAATGAATCAGATTTGAATTATCTGACAAGATTTTTAAAGCCCTAATAAAAATGCTTCAATAAGCATCTTGAAACAAACTGAAAACCTAGAAAATAGTAAAGAAAAAGGAATGAAAAGTAATGCATACTATATCACAGACAAATCTACGATTATGCTAAGTGAAATAAGCAAATCACCTCACCCACACACACACACATTATATGATATTATTTATATAAAATGTTCAAAATAGGCAATTAGATAGATTGAAAATAGATTAGTGTTTGCCTAGGCTAAAAGTACTATGAAATAAGAAGTGACTGTCAATGTGGGTACAGGTTTCTTTCCAGGGTGATGAAAATATTCTAAAATTAAGATTATGGTGATGTTGGTATAACTCTATAAAGATACTAAAACTGTTGAATTGTACACTTTAACACGACTGAGTTGTATGGTATGTGAATTATATCTCAATATAACTTAAATTGCAATTCAAATTAATTAAAATAAAATTAATTGATTTTAAAAAGAACCAAATAAAAATTTTCAATTATAGAAAATACCAGGAACTGAAAATGGATGGAGACATTCAACAGTGGAGTGGAAATGACAGAGTACAGTAGTCAGCAAACTTGAGCTCAGATCAATAGAACTTACCCTGAACAATAGTGAGAAAACAGACTGGAAAGATGGGAACCTATGGTACCACAAAAGATACATCATCAGTCTCAGAAAGAGATGAGAAAGAGTGGGGTTGAAAGACTATTTTAAGAAATAATGGCTTAACAGTTCCCAAATTTTTCAAGTACTAAAAGAATTGTCAACAATGAATAAATACTATGTCCAGTGAGGGATGAAGGAGAGGAAATAAAGACATTCTCAAAGGGAAACTGATGGAATTTGTTGCTGGCAAAGCCACCCTTCTAAATAGCTAACAGGAGTCTTTCAAACATAAGGAAATGATAAAAGGACTCTCGGACCAGCAGGAAAGAAAGACCAAAAAAGTAGACACATGGGTGTATATAATGAACTATTTAGAGAATGAAACACAAATAATGCACCATCTTGTAATCAAGAAAAAGATATTTAAAAGTGGGGAGATAAAAGGGATATATATATATATATGGAAGTTTTCATACCTTAAAAATGGTAAAATGTTGGGCCCTCCCTGGTGGCGCAACAGGTTAAAGCACAGCACTAAGAAGCTAAAGCCACTTTAGCATGAGTTCGATCCCTGCCCCTGAGGCGACCACATGGCATGGCAGACCTCTCCTGACCCTGCCTGCTGCTCCCCTCAGCAGTGTACTTCATCAATCTACCTGTTCTACTCCCCACTCTGTCTCAGGTGAAGCCTCTCACCACCCCCGCACCTCTGGCCTATACCCCAGTTCTGTATGAATAAATTTAAAAAAAATTATTATTATCATTTAACAGGATGGGGAAATCTTATTTAATAGTAATAGAAACACCAAAACCAAAATTATTAGTGTGTAATAATTAATGACAACATGTTTTTTATATGAATAAACTTTTATTGAATTTTAGATAATTAGAAAGAATAAAGAAATGCTTTCTAAATAACATCTGATAGTATCTTCTGTTCATAGTATTTCCACTTTTGTTTATAAAAAGTATAGACATTCATTTATTTAAATTTTTACAAAGTCAAGAACCATCAAGTGGAGAAAATAAGTAATACTAAAGGAAATTCAGCTTTCCATCGATACTGGGACGGCTGCCATGCTTAGGTTCTGAGTTTAGCCCTCTTGGAAAAACAGCATATGCAGCAACTGATGGTTTGTGTTTATTCCACAGGTGAAAATCAGGAGACTCCTCCCTGTGATAACTGTGCTGGCAGGAACGAGGGCAAAAAGCACAGTGGGAAGAGACGGAATGAGGCCCTGGGGGGTGGAAGGGGTTGATAGGGGGTGCTGCTCATTCCAAATCATTATCAGGTTCAATGTCATAAACAATTTGGGAAACAAATCTGGGAAGAAATCTCTGTATGTTGCAGAATGTGTGATTTAGAAGAGATATTCACCAAAACAAGTTTGACCAGACCTACAATGCACAGAATAGAGTGAGGATATTGTAAAATACCTAGTGAATGCCACGGCTATCCAAGTCAGAACACTAATCAAAAAAGGAGTCTCTTTACAAGTGCTGTGAAATGCATTTGAGCAAAACAGCAAACCTGAGCTGTGACAAATACAGGGCAGGTCCTCCCATGAGCACACCTTAAGACACACCTTCTGTCTCAATCATATCTCCTGTGAAAATAATTACTTTGAAAACAAATCAATCCCCTGTGCTCCCTGTAACAACCTACTAACATCTACTTGTTAGACACGGAGAAAGTCATCTACCACCAAATGAAAGGCATCAGGTGCTGCCTCATCAGGTTGAAGCAAATGTTGATCCGCGTGAGGCCTCAACAGCCCTGTCCTGATGTTGATCCTGTCCCAAAGGGCAGGCTGGGATGCCAAAGCCCTGCCACCTGCCTCCCTGCCCATCCTGTGCTGCCCACCCAACCCTGCTCTTTCACCATGGATCTCCTGTGGGGGTCCAGGAACACAATCACAGAAATCTTTTCTTTCCTGGCCCAGTGCCTCTCATGTATCTTTTCACTAAAAATCACTTTTCTTTTTTTTTAAAAAAAATAATTTTTCCAGGAAATAATGAACAGCAACTGTGATGGACCTATAATAAACCCTAGAAAATGTAGACAGGCAAGAATCTGTCAATATAGTAATATTCCAAATAGGAAATTTATGGTTCAGGAAGTGATAAATAAATATGAAAGGTTTCTCAAAGAAGTTCTTTTGTTTCCCCATTTCTTACTGAATTTTGTGTAAAAAGTTCTGATTCTATGATACAAGACCCAACCCTGTTATGAGCAACATTAACCATTTATGCCATTAAACCCTCCACACAAAGAGGGAATAGAGAGAGGCAGGACACGTCACAGAGTTGCTTGTTCTTTTTTCTAAAGACACCTATCTTTCTTTAAATAATTTCATTATTTAAATTCCATCTGGCACTTTAGTTTCTTGGAAAAGTATTAAGTTAGGCATGAGTTACAGAACAAGTGCCAGCCTGTTCTTCTATCTTTTTTCTTGGCTTTTGGCACATCTTTGAGATCCAGCTTTGTGAACGGAACCCTGGGGCAGGGCAGTGGAAAAACAAGTCTTCATCATGGAGCATTCCAGTTCATTTCCCAAAGCTCAGTGACCAGGCCACTCAATGCTTTCTTCTTTGTGCTTTTTTTTACTAGCATCATTATCAGGCAAGTGGATCCTTGCTAGCACTTGCCAGCCGCACCCTCCCCCTTGCATGAGGGCAGCCCCCTGATTCTTCTCTGAATACCCCATCTGCATTCGTGTCCTATACCAGGGACCCGGCCCGACTCTGGGCTGGCACCATCACGGGGACTGCGCCAATCCGCTCCAGGGTTGCTTGGCTCACAGTATAAGAGTGTGTGTGCGGAAGCCGAGGCTTCCCGCTGACCGAGCCGTTGCTCCTGGACACGACCTGCGGAGACGATCCTCTGTTGGCTGTCACTACCAAAGTCTTATGTGGAGCTGGGGCCAGGGGGTTCCCGTTCGCATAGATGGAGGGTACAGTGGCATTGCCCGAGTGGAGGGAGAAAGACTGGCGCAAGTCACTGAAGTGGTTGAAGGACTCTGTGTTCCTGTGGACTTTTGGCTTGTTGCTCCAGTATCGGCCATTGTAGGTATTAGAAGAGGTCAGCGTGTTGTTCTCTGAGGAGGACACCTCGGTGTGGAATGCTTTGGCAGAAGAACATTTAGGTGGGAGATCATCCTCTCTGAAAAGGAAAAAAAAAGTCAAGCGGTTAGGATGAGCGTGAGGCTTACCCTACCCTCTTGCCCACGCGAAGGCCAAGGTATCCCTGAAACACAAGCCCTCAGGTCAGACCGCATTATCAGGAAAGCTGAACTGGTTTTGACAAATTCGTTCCCTTCTACACAATGCTCAAGAAAGTGTTCCCTCAGCATCTCAGTCTTCATGAATAAGAAAAATAAGAGAACATCTCCCAAAGCCTGTCTTCCAATGTAAATAAGATACACATGTACATGTGTGTGTATATGCACATATACATATGTCAATATATACATATATACATGTTTAGATGTGTGTGTGCATGTGTTTTAACTATGGATGTGGGGATGTAAGAAATGATGAGAGTTGGCCTGATTTTGTTGTGACTTGGGGTTGAAGAAGTCATTGTTATAGGCTGATGAAAGGTTTTTTCAAGGAATTTCACACTGGGGTGAAATCTCTACCTGCAATAAGTCCCAAATGCTTAAGAATTACAAGAGGCTAAGAGAAGTCAATAATTTAAATAATGTGCCCACTAATTATTTCACATGTATTGAGTACCAGGCATTCTACTACATACTTCCTATAAAAAAGAAATCGCTCCTCTGCCTAAGATGTTCTGGCCAACTAGGGGTGATAATCAGTGCAGAAAATCTGCATGTTTCAAAGGTTGAACAAGGGGCTAAAGTCAGTTTAGGTGAGGAGCTCTGAGTGGGGCCTAAACACCAAACGCTTTACTTTAAATTTACCACCTTGACATTGTCTGCTTTTCTTTCTTTTCTTTCTTTCTTTTTTTCCTATCGCGTTTGCGCTGGCTAATTTGATTCCCAAATCTTTCCCCCTGGAACACTTTCCAATACCAGGCTCCAGAACACTGCCATAGCCAACATGGTTCTTCCTTTGCAACATAAGTATTTTCATAAGTATTTTACTTTCTCCAATCCTCTATGATGTAAGGATCCAGTATTTGTTTTGGCTTTACTCTACCACATTTCCCTCAAACTCCCTCCATTTCACTGTTAAGAGGTTGCAATTTTGTCCTCCATATAGCTGACTAGTTTTCTACAGTGGGGACACACCACATCTTCTCGAGTCAGCCATCTAATGATGGATAGTTATGTGGCCACGTCCTGGCTATTGTACACAGTGCTGCAATAATAGTGCAGAGCATTAGTGTACTATTTTTGTGTTCTTTGGATAGATGCCCAAAATGGGACAGTGGGGTATTTCCATTTTCAGCTTTTAAAGGTAAATTCAGACCACTTTCCATAATGGCTGTACTGGTTTACATTCCCACCAATAGTAAAAAAAGATTTCATTTCAATTGATTTCTCTTGAGATGTCCACTGTTCTTGACAGAACTGCCTTTAACAAAGCCATACTGCTTTGCCTCTTTCTTTACGTTCTCATCTATTACGAATGCCAATGCTCAACGCATATTGTGAAATAACTTTTTTACTGTGGCAGCCACCTCAACCTCATTATCCTAGAGTTATGGGAAGGGGAGGAAAAATTCTTCCCTTGGATCCCCCCGAGTTGGGCACATGCTGGCCTCTTCCCCTTTCGTGATTTAGTAACAAAAGCTAAGCAGTACCATAAGGAAAAGTGATATAACGCACAAGAAAATCTCACTGACCACTTTACCTTGACAGTTACAAGATCAGCAAAGAACTCTCGGCTGCCAAAGTAAATCAAAATACAGACATTAGCCAATAGGAAAAATTATCTAACACACACACCTTATTTCATTAGGGATTTCTTCTTCCTCCTCCTCTTTATTTTTGTTTCTCCAGTAAAAGAATGCCCCTAAAATTAGTGCAATGCAAAAAATGATAATAACAGCACCAGTGCCAATGGCTCCAGCTATTACTCCAATGCTTCTGGGCTGGGCTGCAAAATATATTTAAGGCATATTTAAAGAACCAAAAAAAAAAAAAGAAAGAAAGAAAGAAAGAAAGAAAGAAAGAAAGAATATACTTATGCAACTTTGTAAACTAATACATTTACCAAAGACTCTTACTGAGTCTTTGGTTAAAACCACCGAAAGCATTGCATTCACATAAGCTTAAATCTCACTTAGCTTTCTGTATCCCCACAGGGAGGACTAACACAGGAGGTCGACACTGACTGAACAAACAAGACACAGCTGCAGGAGGGCCACTGCCAAAGTGGAGCCACCCAATCTGACCCACCCTGGCACCCTGGCAGGATGACTGGTCCTTATCCCAGCTAGAACACTCACTCCCTTTAGTAACTGGAATTCAAATATCCCAGAAATCTCGACTAAAGAGAAATTTTCTGCACTGTTTATTTAAGGTGCCCAACAATTAAGTAGATATGTCATTAGGAAAAATGTAGCAAAATGCTATCATAGCCATAAGATCATTACACATTTTTATAATGTCTATAGCACTATACAGTCAAAACCCATTTGCTTCTAATGATAGTGAAGATAAAGGCATTTTGTCATAAAAATGGTATATTGCTGAGGCCGAATAGTATGGTACTACACTCATAAAAACATTTCCACAACAATAAAAGAATTTTTATTAATAGTCAATCCAGAAACAATTAACTCTTCATTCCCAGGGTTAAAAATGATCTAAGCATCAGATCCAGAGTATACGTGAGAATTTTACATACTTACGTGAAATAACCTGGAGGTCCAAAAGACAGGTGCTGGTCCCAATGGCGTTAGAAGCCACACACTGGTACAGACCTGAAGACAGAGCACTGATGTTCCGGATGGTGACTGTTCCCTGCACCTGGTCTGTCACAAAAATAAGAAAACCATAGAAATCAGCAGAAGACACGACTACAAAAATTTATAGCCACTAAAAGAACTATTAATAATATTTTGGTTCACGAATGTGAAATATTCACATCACATCATATTATAGCCTGGGGCCGTAGAGGAACATCCCAAATAAGGGCACGCTACAACTTAATCTGCAGATCAGCATGAAGCCCTTAAGTACCTTGAGGAAACAAATGCCTAGCCCAAAGAAGCTGTGCTCACTAACAGCAAATTTCAATTCTGAGGACACACGATACATAAAGGTGAAGTTAAACTCTTTAAAATAATGTTTATTTGATGCTTCATGGAAAACACATTCATTCTGTGTCCGAGGGTTAGATTGTTTTTCCTTACCAACAACTACTGTAACATTTGCATGAGTCTAGATCCCCAAGCAGCAGACACTAAGACAAGCAAGAGGCTGACTGGTGGAAATACCAGGAAAGGAAGGGCGAGGACGCTGGAGAACGTGGGGAGAGCACAGACGTGAGGCCAGTCTGGTCTCAGAAGGAAGGCTGGGTAAGGAGCTTCTAAACTGCCACACGGTGTTATGATTTCACCTGGCTGATAAGGGTGTTGGAGTCAAAGTTGCCTATTCAAAGAGTCCCACAACTTCGAGCATAGTCGTGTAGTGATAGCCCCACTGTGCCCTGCCCTGTGACTGGCTGGGAGCAGCCCAGGAGAAGACCGGCCTGAGTGCAGTGCAGCTGGGACTGCCTGGTCAACTGTGCTCCCTCCCCACGGCAGAAGGTCCCAGCAGTGCATTCTCAGGGCCATCACACTGATATTACCAAGAAGCATTTAAGTAGTACACACTTGAGTAATTTATCAACATTAGCAGAGTTTATTCCTTATAAGTAAAATACAAACTACTTCTAGTAATAATGAAAATTAAAGCTAATGGATATTACTATGTACCAAGCATGGGGTAAGTTTTTATATGTATTGTCTCAATCTTTACAATGACCCTAACCAGGTAGTGTTGTTATTGATCCCACCGAATGGATTAGGAGATTGAGGCTTTAGATGCGTAATAGGATTACACAGAATTGGAATTGGATGGAGGGCTGTCTTACCTCTAAAACCTATGCTTCACTGCTTCCTGTAGGCAGAACATAATACAATGAACCAGCTCAAACACTCAAAATAGCTGCACATCTAAGAGCAAGTAGAAAAACTCCCTAATATCACATGTCCTGACCCAAGTCCATATTTCCCTTAGGCAACACTGGGAGCTGAGCCATTTTTTACATAACACTGAGATTTAACTTGTTTCTGCAGGCAACCTCCATTGCTATTGAGACCCAACTAGATTAGTGGTAGATCCAGAAGGGATCAGCAAAAGCTGACCTGACCACAGGCTACATGCATTTGTCTATTAAAGCACTTAATAAATATGTGTTGGGAAACACTCTATGTGCCAGGTAAATTCTGAGGAGAGTGATGCAGTGAAAAAGACCACAAGCCCAAGCCCTTACCTCAATGAGACAAGTAGGCAAGCAATCGCAATAAATGGGTTGAGTGCCTGTACTCCAGAACATAGTTCTAGGGTGCACACAGGGGCACCTGATGAGGGCACATGAATTCTGACTAACTGCTCAGGCAATTAGAGCCTTCAGGGTTATCTCGCTGCTTTCAAACAAATTATAGCAGGTAGTGCGAATACATGACTTTGAATCATCAAATGCACACTAGAATCAACTTCAACAGTCAGCCCAGGGAAAGGAGATTTTTTTTTTATGAGAACGCTATTGTTTTCTTTTTTCCACCCTCCCTCCTGCCTCATGGTCCTGTCCCCCCTGCTCTTGCTGTGCAGAGATGCCACTACCCAATAAATCACTTCATGAACGCTTTGCTCCGGCTCTGTTTTCGCCTCTGTGTTTCAATCCAGTTTTCTTTTCCCCACCACCATCCTTTATATATTTCCTCCCTCCCCATTTCCTTTTCCTATCGCAAACTTAACTTCCTTTTCCTGTTCACTAGTTTTTAGGAGTATTTTGCTTTGTCGATTCATCTACTATGTAAACATTGAATATTTGTCTTTGTCATTTGCTTTTCTTCACATAATACCACTCAAAATTCTTCCATTTCGCTATAGTGCAACATTTCATCTCTCTCTCTCTCTCTCTCTTTTTTTTCTGAACAGCATTCTGTTTTGCTACATCTTCCTAAGCCAATCCCCTATCAGTGGACACTGAGGTTGTTTCCATGTCCTAGCTATTGTTAAGCGGACAGCAATAAATACAGTGAGGCATATTAATTTTTCAGTTGATAGTTTCCTGCTCTTCAGAGAGGTACCCAAGGGTGGGATTGCTGGGTC